TTTCCTTCCATCCTGTACACCTCCCTCCCCGCCCCATCCCTCCTTTCCTTTCACTCCCTTCCCCCTTCCCTCCCTCTCCCTCAATTTCTCTTTGGATTTTCCATTTCACAGACTCCGCATCACTTCACTCGCAGTTATGACAAACCCTGGTTGGTAAACAGCAAGGCAGGTACCCCTTTGAGGGGCTACGATAATGCTGACCTCCACCTGTCTGCTTCTGAGGTAGAGTATGGCTTACATGGGCCAGTCCCTGTTGCAAAAGGAGGAGCCCCCTTGGCTTCCTTTTCCCCTCTCTTAATGCTTTCCTTGTTATAACAGCGCTTGATAACACCTCTTTCCATGCTAGGGCTGCTGCTGTGTTGCTCATGGGGCTTCTAACTCTGGTTTCTTAAAGACAAAAAGATTTGTTCTTCGAAATACTCTTTAAAAACCAACAGAACGTTAACACACAGTTTGCAACCAGTTTGTGTTGAAACAACAAACATTTTCCCAGAAGTTCAAAGTGAGAAAATCTTTCAAGTTTTGGGCTGTTTTTGAACATTAAATGAAAGAGATATGATAGAGGAGGATACCACTTAAAAGTCAGGAGTCATGGATAAAACAGCCGAATTAACACTTTGAAAATCAGTGCCTGTGCCTGTATAGAAACCCCTCAATTTGTTATCCCACATACGATGCAGGTGAGAATGTTGGGAGGGGAGAAGCGTCTTAGAAACATCTGCCTGGCTGCTCTTGGAGGTAGGAGGCTGGGTTAGATGGACATCCTTTTCCCTCCCTCCCTCCCTCCCACCAGGGCAGTTCTTACAGTCATGGGAATGTAAGTCCCAACCAAACAGGAGGAATGGGGGTGGTATTAATGATAGGCTACCGGCTTGGTGTCCATATAAGTTGCTCAGACCTGAAATGATTATTGCTTCAGTTTGCTTTTCTCCAACTGGGTGCCCTCCAGATGTCTTAGATGACACACTGTGCTGGTGATCAGAGTCATACTCCAAAATGTTTGGAAGGCAACAAGTTGGTGAAGCTGTTTTCGGAACATAGGATGCTGCCTGAGTCCATCTAGCCCAGTGTTGTCAACACAGGCTGGCAGCAGCTCTCCAGAGTCTCTGGCAGGAGTCTTTCCCAGGCCTACCTGGAGCCGCTGTTGGGGACTGGACCTGGGACCTTCTGCATGTGCAAAGCATGTGCTTTAGATTAAGCATTTCCCTGCTTTGCGCCACTAGAAAGGCAGAGACCGTTGGTGCACCAGCAATGGACTCCCTCTTCACATCTAGTGCTTGGGAACTGGAGTTGGGAGGATGCTTTTTCCTCCAGTTTTTCCTCCGACTGAAATAGTAGCTGGCATCCTGCTCTGCACCTGCTTTAAAGAGGCTGATGGGAGCTGCAGCTGTGGTGTCCAAAATGAGCAGGATCCCCGCCCACTCCAGTTCCGAGCTGCTCTCTGTCCTGTTTCTTCCATGGGGCACAAGTAGAACTGTTCAGGGCCAAGTGGATCCCCTGCTCTTTCTAGACAGAGGTGTGATGACTTGGACTAAACCTCACCAAAGGTGCCTTCTTGCTGCTCATGCTCCTCAAGTGCTCAGGAGCTTCTTTTCTGCCCTTTTTAGAGACGGCAAGCACAGGGGTCCAATTAATGAGCCTGCCATCCAGCGCTGGGTGGTAAAGAGGACTAATAGCAGAGAATGGCCTTCTTGGTGTGTCTTGTCTGTCTGCTTCTCTTCTTGGCCCGCAGCACCTTAAAGGTCATGAGGAACATGGGGTGGGTGGGCAGGCAGCCCTGTAAATGTGTTCATGTCCATTAGCAGAAAGCAAAATGGGCAGGTGAAGAGCTGGATGTCCACAGAAGTTCCCACGTGGGACTTCTTGGTTACAGCAGCCACAATTCGGTCTTTCTGGGTTCTTGTTTAACAACTGTTGAGCCCCTCTGTGATTCATGGGGAGGGGACAGCAGGACTTGATGCTCCTTCATTCCTTGTTGACCTTTAAGATGCAGTGGGGGCTGCAGTCTGGCTGCTGGAGTGCAGGGATCCTCTCAACCACCACCTGTTTAGGAAGCAAATGATGACTGTTGAGATAAACGTCTCTTTCTCCCAAGGTTGTTCCCTCTTCAAGCAGCAAGCTGAAGCGACCCACTTTCCACTCCAGCCGGACTTCTCTCGCTGGCGACACCAGTAACAGCTCCTCGCCAGTGTCTTCAGGTGCCAAAACTAGTCGGGCTGGTAAGTGCCTTTCTGGAAGTGACACAGTCCCTGCTTGTATGCTGCATGTATTGCCTTTTCATTCTTTGTTTTGTGAATCACTTCGGGGCTTCCCTTGGTTGTGGGAAACAATGAACAAAATTCAGTAAACTGAACAGGTGAACACAGGAGTGGGACTTGGGTCAAGCTGCTCTGAGTTTCAGCCTCTACTTCTGTTAGGTGGGATGAGTAATTCCAGCCTCCCTGATGAGGGTTACTTCCAGCGGGGGCGGGCTGGGGGCTCCTGCTGCTAACAGTCTTCACTCTGCCCTTGTAAGCCTCAAGTGTACTTGCAGCTGGTTTTCTGTGCTCTTAGGAGCATGGCCATTTCTCTGTGTGCACCAGTCAATGGGTCAGAGCTGTTGCAGGTGGTGCCAACTGAAGTTCAGCACACTTTCACTATAGCCAATTCCATTTATGCAAAGTTTTATTATTTTAGCCCGCACCCTGCCTCCACATTGCTGTGCATAGGCCCTATTGCACTCGGTGGGACTTCTGAGTAGAAATATATATGGGATACACAGGAGCTTTTTGTTGAGAAATTAATAGCAAGTGAAATTCCCCGTGCTTCAGTGATTCCTCCAAGACATAAGGAAGCCCACACATGACCCCGCCTGGCCACAAAGTGGAATGAAGCACCAATGATGATACAGCAACATCAGCCAGTTTGACTGTCACCCCCACTGGCTGCGAGGCAGTTCCAGAGCAAGGGGTATCTCTAGTACACTGAAATAGGTTCAGCTATGTTGTGGGGAGGGCCCGACTGCTCAGGCATCAACTGCTTGTGGTAGCTGTGAGAGCCACCGTTCCAGCACACACAGAGGATGTCTAAAGGGAAGGTGGCATCTAGCTGGAAAACAAGACGGGGGCTGCCCTCGAGGGACGGAGGAATAGCATGTTGTAAGGCCTTCCTGGGCTTCCATGGTGGTGATGGACACATCTGTTTTACTTTTCAGATCCTAAGAAAACGAGCAGTCGCCCTCAGAGCCGGGCAGGGAGCCGGGCAGGGAGCCGCGCCAGCAGCCGGCGGGGCAGCGACGCATCTGACTTTGACCTCCTAGAGACACAGTCAGCCTGCTCAGACACTTCCGAAAGCAGCGCAACGGGGGGGCAGGGCAGCTCCCGACGGGGCATGGCAAAGCCCTCCAAAATCCCCACCATATCTAAGAAAGCGACCACAGCCACCCCCAAGACGCCAGGCCCCAAGAGATAATAATAAGACCCCATGCACACATCTACACATACACACACACACACACACACAAACAAACAAAAACCTGTGTCCATTTTTTAACCCTGCTTCATACATTGGATGTATATTTATTCTACATGGGAGAAATTATATTGTTAAAAGTGTAAAAGATTAATTGTGTTATGAAGCTGCCTTATTTTGTTCTGTTAATTTTCTTTTTTTGTAAGTTACTATTTTCATGTGAATATTTATGTAGATAAAACTTGCCTTCTGGTGACCTCCTTAGCGCTGGGAGGGCCCAGGGAAAAAAAATGAAATGTGGGAGAGAATAGAAGCAAGCAAAAGGTCAAGATGTGAAAATGTAAAAACAAAAAGTTAAAAAAAAATTATATAAATAGGATTTCTGTGCAGTGCAGGAAGTGATCCTGCTTTATCTTTTAGGATTATTTCCTAAATGCATCTTTATAAAAACTTAACTTGCTGTCTCAGCAAGGTAAATTATATTTAAAAGCAACACCTGAATATCCAGCAGTGTTCAAGGAATTCTTTCTTTCTTTCTTTCTTTCTCTCTCTCTCTCTCTCTCTCTCTCTCTCTCTCTCTTTCTTTCTCTTTTTTTTTTTGTAAATCATGGATACCTCAAAAAGAGAGAAATGTGAGGTGAATGGGATCTGGGGCTTCTGTTTCCAGTTTTTAAAAGAAATCATTGTGGTTTTACCTGAAGATAAAGTGGAGTAAGTTTGAACTAATAAATTTTAAAAAAAAATTGCACACACGCTACATACAAGTAAAGATGTTCACTAAAATGCTGTATTTAGCAAAATGAAAGTACTGTCAGCCGCTGAGCTTTTAAAGAACAACTAATACTATGTTTTCAATATTTTACACTTGAAGCTCTCCAGTAGCATCATACCTGTGTGGACGATGCCTGGGGTTGGGGCACACACAGCAAAACCTTTGAGCAGTGGAGCCAAAGAGGGGAGTTCCCACAAAACTTGGTTCTTCTCTCACATTGCTGTTAAAACGAAACAAAAAAAACTGACTTCACTTTTTAGTTCACGAACTGCTATTTAACTGCATTGTTTCCTATTTATTGTCTCAACTGGTTAATGCCACTTCTGACCATACTGACGTCCAAGAGGCCCCTCCACACTCCAGGGGAGAAGACGACGACAGAGCTGCCTTCAACACGCACAGGAGCTTGTTCTTGGGAATTTTAAAGCGCATCACCAGCAGCCCCACTTGTGCGCCGCCCCCTCTGCCCCCCAGCTCGCTTTTATATGATCATTTTTTCCATTGTGGAGGGGAGAAGAAGGGGAGGGATGTTTTAAAAAGTAAAGCCAACTTTGGGACAGTAAAGAAGGGGGAGGGGCAGGGAGTTGGGGGCTACTTGGTCTTCCTGTATTTATTAACTTTTGCTCTTTCCCCTGCTCTGACTGACCATATTGCTGTGTGATTCTCTCAGTTGGTTTAATTGAGCCAGAACCTGAAGCTCTACCAATGAATTGTTTAAAAAAAGAAGACACTTTTTGTATTAAAATTGCTTGCAGTAATAATAAAAAGAAACTTGCCTCTTTTTTTATGCCATGGAAGAAGCCACTGGATTAGCATGAAGAGTGCAGGTGTGTCTTCCCAGCCAATCACTTCTCCTCTGGCACAGAATAGAGCCGCCTGCTTTCTCTGTGATTATTTGTTCGAATGCGGTGGTTCCAAAACTCTTTTTGAGCCTCCGCCACTTGGTTCCGTAAGATCATCCCCAGTGCCCCCTGCCCTATAAAAAACATTGAGAATGACCCACTATGGAAGACAACAAAATTCAGATTCAAAACAGTGACAATTAATTGCACATTTATTCAAAATTCAATTAAAACTATTTGCGTAATTCATAAAATTGATGAACTTCCAGTGGTACCAGCTTTCCAAACCCTTGCCTCTTACCAATCCCCTAGGTAATCTCACTGCCTCCCAGGGGGCAGTACCCCACCCCATTTGGGAACCACTTCCAAACCATAGAAACCAACAGATGTGTACCAGACAACCACAAATTATGGGCAAGTTAACCAGTCCACTGTCTCCTAAAGGGCCTCTGCAGTAAGAGAGACCAACTCACCATGCTCCTGGCTGTCGCGCTTCTAAAGGGATGATGTTCCATCTGCTCTGCCCTTTCAAAGCACAGGAGGGCAACTCACAGCAGCGTTTGGTTTTGCTTTGTTTTGTTGTGCAGTTGGGGAAATGGGGAAACTGGACATGTTAGGTGAATGTGTATATGAAGCACTTAAATGACAGGCAGCGTCAAGGACAGCATGTGTACAAATGATAAAAGGACAGAATGTGCTCATTTCCATACTTAGACTGCCCAAACTATATTGGGAGCCTGTGCAAAGCCCACAAGCAGGACAGGAACACAAGAGAACTCTCTTCGTGGTTTCCAGCAACTGGTATTCTGAAATATTACTGCCTCCTACCGTGGAGGCAGAGCATTGTTGCAGTTGATAGGCTTATCCATTAACTTGTCCAGTCCTCTTTTAAAGCCATCCAAGTTGATTGCCATCACTGCCCCCTGTAGGAGCGAGTTCCATAGTTTAACTATGCACTATGTGAAGAAAGATTTTCTTTTGTCTGTCCCGAACCTTCCAACATTCAGCTTGGATGTCCAAAAGTTCCGGTGTCATGAGAAGGGAGAAAAATATTCCACTTTCTATTATACTGCAGCCAATACAAATCACCTTGTCTGTGGTCCCACAAAGCCAATGGTAGCATGTTGTAATGGATGTAAAGATGGAAGTTTGCTGTTTCCACAGATAATTGGGCCCTGCTTTTTTCTTTTTGAGCAAAGCACTTGCATTTATGAACTTGAAATTGGCAACATGGGGTTTGACAATAATTATGTAGAAAATGATTACAGCAAGATTATTGTAATCTGGCAACCCTGCAAGTAAGTTGACACTGCCCTCCAGAGCTGTGGAGTGCACACACTCAGTAACCCAATACTTCAACAATTAAAACATTTTTTCCCTGGCTTTCTTGGAGCAATGCTACCGTCACAATTTCCCTGCCCTATAGACACAAAGAGAACTTCAACAAGGGAGGAGAAGCAATTAGTGAGCAAATCCCTGAGCAGCATTGGAACTTTCAGCCGACTTCCGAATGGGCAAGACCAGCTCGCAACATCTGTGTCCTGGCAACCATGTAAACACACAGGCCTGGAATCCAGAGCCACAACTGCCCCTTTTTAAATCAATACAAATGGGGTTGTTCTTCCAGGGCCCAACCGGGAACAAGCAAACAAAGTTGTCAGTTGTTCCCCAGGCTCTGCTCCTGTGCCTTTTCAAGCAGCCTAACATCCAGAAATTGTGCTTGGAGTAGGCGGCCACATGTAAATCTCATATGTGTGAAGAAGAGATTTGGCAGGACTCTGGCATGACAAGATGCAGCTGCTAAATTCCCTCTTATCCAAGACTGCAGCCTTTTACCTATAGGAGGAGCCCCGGTCAAGGGGCAGAGCACATGCCTAGACTACACAAGGTTCCCCAGTTCTATTCCCCACATCTAAAAGGCTCTCAGGTGCCGGAGTTGAGCAAGGACTTTGTTGGGGGTCTTGGAGAGCTAGACTGTCCTAAATAGACTAATAGTCTGGCTCCATATAAGACACATAGATGCTCACAGGCAAGCTCAGCTTCTGAAGTTTTAAAATGCTCCTAATCCTAGATATCCTTAGTGTCATGCTCCAGGGAGATGCAGGGCTCAACTGGATTCAGGGTGCCAAAGGATCAAGTGAAAGGTGCACCATCCTAGAGGACCCCCCCCCGAAAAATCCCAAGGAGGTCATTATGTGGATTCCACTCTTCCCCACTTTCAGTATGGAAACCCCTGAATACTAATCCAAGTCATGCCATCTGTTTCCTACCCTTCTCTCTCCCCTTCGTCATCACCTCAGTTAATTTAAGTTTGAACTGGAAGCTCTTTGAGGGCAGAGATGCTTCTTTTCCCAGCTTATGAAACACTGCTAAATTCTGCATATGTGTATTGATGGGGCTGCTTTTAATCATAATAGATAGGAAGCCAGATGTCATACCTTGCAAGAGGAGCCTCAGTGGAACCACCTCTTCCCTGACACGCAGCAGATGAGCGTCTCTTGGACATTCTGCAAAGGAGAGCAGAAATGCATCTGAGTCTGAGGGAGGGGTGGACTGGGTGGGTGCTCAGCTACACTCCATGCCAGTTGGGGCCAGGGTGCAGTCAGGTCTGGGGGGCTCTGAAAAATCTGACCCAGTGGGTCTGTTTCCCCCTCCCAAATTGTGGCTGGGGGTGTCAACACTTACTCCGAATAGTCTCTTCTCGAGGGTCCTAGCACAAATCAACTGGCAAGAGAGACTCCCACCCACCCCGTACCTCTGCCTGCAGCCAAGTCCAGAGAGGCACCACAAGGACCTGCTGCCTGCTTCACAGTGAGTTAGGCTCAGAACCCCATTGTCATGGCAACCATGGGCGCCAACTGCCCTCGGCCCCAACTGCCACTTTCAGAATGAAAGAACTGGGGTGTGGTTTTTTGGGGGGGTTGTTGGGAGGGGAGTTGCTGCTCTTGGTTTCTTGTATCTTTATTTTAGATTTTGCTGTGATTGATGTGGAAATTGTTCAGTTTGGTATTTTTAAAATATTTTATTTATTGTTTAGGACTACCTTTGTTATGCTGAAGTTGTGTATTTTTTTCACATTGTAAGCCACCGTGAGCGTGGCTTGAACTGTAGAAAGCTAACATACAAGCATGACCATTACCTCAGGACCGCAAAACAGACAAGGTTGCCCAAAAAGGGCAAGGGAGGAAGAGGAATTTGACCAAAAATAAGTGAAATGACCCAGTCATCTGAGGGGAAAGAGTTTCATGAAATTGCCCCACCACCAAATCGTTTCACTGGTTCTTTGGCATGTTTTCTTTGGAGAAAAACCAATTGAATTCTCTGGGGCTTAGTTCTTTACTGCTCAACTTCCTCTCTTCCATCCATGCCCCACCCCCATGATATGGAACACCTATTAAACCTTTTAAATAAAGCTGTAGAGGCACAAAATAGTTCACATTTAGCTAAAGGTCTAATACCGATCATGTGACTTTTATAACAAAAATACGCCACTATCAGATCAAGAAATACAGACTAAACTAGGAAACTTACAAACCCCTTGGCTGCTACTCCACCAAATCCAGATTTTTTTGGCTAACCCAATTACCAGTATAGCAGCCACCCTCGTAATATCCTCAGAAGGACAAGGACCAGATATAACATTTATAAAATTCTACTCAGTGCATCAGTGGGTTCACTTGACCCTATCAACATGAATGCAATTTTGGCTATAACCTTGAGCCAGCTCAATGGAATGGACAAAAAACCTATTTATTTTGGTGAGTGATAGAGAATTAACCTCTAGGAAGCTGGCAATGACCCATCCTGGTGCCTCACCACATTGCTGGAGGGGCTGCCCAACACCCGGTACAACACTCCACATGAGGTGGGGTTTTACAAAAACCCAGCCTTTCTGGAATGCGATATTCCAAGAAATTAATAAAATAACAAAACAACAATTGGAAGTCAAACCAGAATTAGCTTCCTCAAATATATTTCAAGACAACAATCTGGATCTACATAATAAAGGATTAATAAGCCATTTAGTACAAGTGACAAGACACAACATAACCAGACACTGGAAAGACCTTTCTTACACAACAATAGACAATTGGTACAAAACAGTTTGGGAACCATCGCTCCTTGAGATATAACAAATAAACAACAGTTGACATGTGGACAGATCGAGAAAGATGGCTTTATCCCGGTGTGGTTTAATTTCATAACATATGCTAGTATTCCAGAAAATGAACAATCAGCATTTGGCTCAATCTGGTTGAAATAAATGTAAATTTAAACATAAATTATTATCTTCACTTTTAACCCCCATCTCACTTTCATCACTATACCAACACTTCATTGTTTCATTAGTAACACAAGAGGAAAAATGACTATTATACTCATACTGAATCTAAGCACAACCACAAGGGCTCCTAATTAGACATTTAGTCATGTGATGTTGAATGTTATCCGTTAACTCTGTTCTATCCTGTTTCCTTTTTGCTTTCATTTAAACCAATTCACGAACCAATGTATAAGTTATAACTTATACATTGACCACTAATATTACTACAAACTTATTTTTGTGATATACAATTGAAAAGAGAAGAAGAAGAAGAAATTGTTAATATTTAATCATAGGATTGCAGGATATGGTCATTGTTGACAAATATTTTTCCTGTCTTTGTCTTTTCTCAGAATGAGTTGCCAGGGCGGGGGCAGTGAATCCACTTCATAAAAGTGTACATTGTGTCACAGACACTCTGCTGTCCACTATAATGGCAGCTCCAAGTGAACAGCAAAGGAGGCAACCATTCTTTAAGATGGCAGCTTTTACAATTTCCTCAGAATTCAAACAGCACCTCATAACAGGGATTTCTGGGGGAAACAAAATGGCAGATTTTCCAGTTCCCTTCTCCATCAAAGAATATTGTTTCATCCCCCAAAATATTGCCAAAACAAAACAGTTGTTATCAATGTAAGTGAAACAAACAAGAAATAGTTCAGCCAACCCTAACTTAAAAATGAAATTTCTCTCATAAGTATGTGTTTAAATGTGTGTTTTGATACATATAAGCTGTCACCAACCATGTCATGACATTCAGAGAAGTGCAAACTCCCATGTATAGCTAAGTTCTGTCCCCCCACCCCCACATTTTGTCCAAGATCAGGTCATTCTTGCAGGAATTTGCCAAGGTCAATTTCAGCACGTTCCCCAAGCCTGATTAAATCTTGGGAACAGGGACTGGCCCACTCATATAATAGTGGAATTTTGAGTGATGAAATTTATGGATAGTAGTTTCAGAACAGTCTAAAACCATTATTTCCCCCTACATTGTGTCCCCCTATCCTGTTGTAGCAGAGTATGTTGACCATCATGGACTTATTGCAGAGGGGTGGGTGGGTGCCATATCTATATAGCATTGTTATCTTGCTATTCTGCGGGTGGTGGTGGAGAGCTTCCAGAATGGCATGCAAATGTTAGTGATGAGACATATCATAAAAGGAAAGAGCACAGGGAGAGAGGATTGTTATAAACTCAGCCTGGAGAACCAATCTGAGAAGTCCTACCAGCGCTGAGAGTTCCCGGGGAGGGTTTTCTGTCGGTCGGGAAGAAGCAGAATTGCAACCAAGCAATTCAGAGCAAGACGGCTAATAAGCCAGTTAAAACAGGATGACAAAGTTCCTGTGGGTGCGCTCACATTACCCCCTTGGAGGGCAATGAAGTTGTCTCACCGCTCTTTCCACGCTACCTGTTCATATCAGCACAGCTTACTCCCTTTGTGGCGGGGCGCGCCTTTGCTCTCTGCACAGGTGTTCACACCTTGGCCAGAGATTAATTAGGAGCGGCTTAAGGACTCCAATCGGCGTGAAGCTGCCTGGTTTGAGAAGCAACGGCTTCGAGCAGCAGTCTCTTATAACAAAGTACGGGATATCATACACGTGCATTTTGGAGAACTGCGACCACGTGTGAAAACCCCAGCACCGGAAACGCAGTCAATGCACAGTCAACGGGAGTGTGAGTGAGCAGAGCCTTAAACTCCCATCGCCCCCGACAGCTAGAAAAGCTGGCTGGGGCTAATGGGAAATGGAGTCCAACAGAGCCACGATACCTTTGACCTGCACAGGCGGTTCTTGGTTCTTCTTGCACTGATCGTAAGGTAGCAGCACCTGCTCGCCCAGAGAACTCTAGTCCCCGAGATATGCCGCCCTGCGGTATCGCATGTCCTCTGTGGGTGCCCCCCAAGAAAGGGGGCGGACACGCCACCACCCCCTTCAGGCCGGGACCAAGCTGCACTTTTGTGCCGCCATCATGGCTCTGCCTCTTCGTGGCAAAAGAATTGCGGTCTCTGCCCCGAGGCGCTGCCCGCCTGCATCCCAGCAGCAGAGCAGCGGCAGCTGCTGCTGAGGAGGCGGGCGGTGCCGGCTCAGGCGGGTCTGTGTGAAAGAAGGCGGGGAGGTGGCCCTCGCAGCCGCGCGGCCTCCTCCCGGGGCCTCGCGGGGCGCGTCGGCGGCTCGGGAGCCTCCCTTCCCTGGGAACCGATCCAAGGGAGCTTCGCTCCTGGCCGCGGGGGAGGCACTCTGCACGCGCTCAGGGCCCCTCACCGTCGCTCGGCGGAGGGCAGGGCTGGAGCAGGCGAGCGGCCGCCCAGCCCGTCCGACGAGCAGCAGCACGTGCTTCCCGCCTCAAGCCGCTTAAAGGGCCGCCCCGACGGCCGCGGCGCGCCGGATCCGCCTGCGCCCTGGCCGGGCTGCTGCTGCCACCGCCGAGCTGGGCGCCAGGATGCGGCTCCCGCCGGCCCCGATCCCCTTGTTCTTCCCCATGCTGCTGTTGCTGCTGCTGCTGGCGGGAGAGCCCTGGGCCCGCCGGGCGTCGAGCCGCGCCGCCGCCTCCTGCCCGCAGCAGCAGCAGCCGCCCCAGCAGCGCCGGCTCAGCGGGCGAGAGCGGCGCGAGATGCAGCGCGAGATCCTGGCCCTGCTGGGCCTGCCGGGCAGACCCCGGCCCCGGACGCGACCCGCCCCGACGGGCACCAAAGCCGCCGCCCGGCAGCAGCAGCAGCAGCGGCAGCCGCCCTCGGCCGCGCCGCTCTTCATGCTCGACCTGTACCGCGCGATGGCAAGCCAGGACGACGGGACGACGGGGACGACGAGGGCAGCCCCTGGACGCCGAGCTGGGCGAGGAGTCCCCCGCGGAGCCGGGCCGCCGACGGCGCCGACACCGTCATGAGCTTCGTCAACCTGGGTGAGTGAGCAAGCGAGCGCTCCGACGGCGCTGCTCTCGAGGAACCTGGCATGGGAGAGCGGCCGCCCTCCGACGCCAGGGGCTGAGAGCCGAGCGGTGGGCGAGGCCGGGGTGGGTAGAGGGTGGTCTGCAGCCGGGGACCGCCGTGCGGACCAGTAATAAATAACAAAACCCCTAAATTCGGCTACTGGCGTGGAGAAATAAGGTTTTGTGTGTGTCAGGACGACTGGCTCTTCTTGGGTGCTTCTGCAATCCTGGGCAGAGGTAGCCCATTTTCTGAATTACAATACAGTGGTACCTCGGGTTAAGTACTTAATTCGTTCCGGAGGTCCGTTCCTAACTTGAAGCACCACTTTAGCTAATGGGGCCTCCTGCTGCTGCAGCGCCGCTGGAGCCCGATTTCTGGTCTTATCCTGAAGCAAAGTTCTTAACCTGAAGCACTATTTCTGGGTTAGCAGAGTGTGTAACCTGAAGCGTATGTAACCTGAGATACCACTGTACTGAGGTGGAGGTGGAGGCAGGGAACTGAACTATTATTTTGCTCCTGGATCCAGCTGAGTTACCTTCGTGTTCTAGTCAAAAAAGCAAGTAGATCTTAGAAGCTGCAAGTCTACCCATCCTTGGCCTCGTCTAGGGTGTGCAAAGGGCCAGGTGGAATTCAAGGTCTGCAGATTTTAGGCTGTGCAAGCGGCAAACTGAGAATGAATTAAATTTGCACCTTTTGGGAATGTGCACAGGATTGCAATCTTGGTGTCATGGTGGAGCCCCACAAAATGTCATGACACTTCATTCCCAGACCGACTTTGGGGAGAAAGCTGTCTGTTGAAAGGGATGGATCCATGGGGTGGGAAAGCCCTTCACCCCAAGCAAGGCAGTCCACCCAGCAGTCTCTCCAACAGACCTGCGGGGGGCGGGAGGGAGACTGACAGCGGCAACAAATCTCACCCTGAGAAGAGAAAGCAGACAGAGCAGCAAGGGGTTTTCAGTGGGTCCTAGAGGAAACTTAAGCTACTCACTGAGCACTCGGGTGAGGGAAAGCACCAAAGAAAGGAAGCAAACCTCCCCACCCTTCACATGATTCAGGTCCCACCTTCCAAATGTGGGGTCAGCAGGAGTCACCTACTTCCAACAAATCTTGCAGAAAAAATTGGGGGAGGGGGAAAACGCACCCGTCACACTCCATTGGCAAGAAGAGCAGGGCAGAAATGTGATCATTAACAACAACAACAAGAACAACAACAACAACAACAACAACAACAACACCCCCCTTGCTGTCCCAAGTTGGAATAATACAGTAAATGAAAGAAGCCCCCCACAGGCAGAGTTGGCCAACTTGAACAAAATATTGGGGGAGACAGGTAAGCCCCCCAACATAATCACATGATGTGGTGTATTCACACCCTTTGAATGGCAATGCCCATCAACTTTGAAGGGGGTGTCCCAGTCCCTTCAAATATTTTATTGGGGGGGGTGAAGACCCCATAGCCCCTGGGAGTTGGCTCCTATGATCATCAGAATTTCAAGCACGGGGGGGGGCAGAGATAGAGAGACTGCATGCATTTTTTTACAAGCTGAAGTCTTCAGAAACTTCCCTACCACTTGATGGCATATCGTTGTTTTGACTTTATTTTGGGGAGGCATATCAGTCTGGGTGGCAGAATTCCAACTTGTCTGTACTTTGAGGATTATAGGACTAGTCCGGATTCACAATCCATCTTAGGGTATAATGTTATTTAGCTGTTTGCAGCCCAGGGGTGGGGGGTGGGGGCAAACAGACGGTCCTAGAAGGACCACTGTGCAATCCATCCAGGAGCCAAAGGGGTCCTGTGGCCACCCTGTGCTACATCTTAGTACAGTACATTCAAATGATTCTCTCTCTCCAACTCCCTGTGTATAGACTAGCCTGGTGCTTTTTGCTGTTGTTTTTTCATTCTGTTTTTTTATGGGGATGGTGAAGCATGCCACATCAGGACCAGCATCCTGATAAGCTTGATGACTTAACTGTGCTGATTGTGCCCTGACCTGCCCTCATGCACATGTTGCCCCTCTGTAACTTGCAGGCGGTGATTTTTAGCAGTGAGTGACTGGTGGAGCCTGGGTGGGGGGTTCTCATGGTGAAATGTAGCACAACTGCCTTTTATCACAACTAGGAAGAGCAATGTGGCCAAGCCAGAATGTGTTGGATGGAGAGCAGGGGACTCAAGGGCTTCTTTGCCACCTACTGCCAAGCATCCCTCTTGATGGGGGTCACTGCTCCATCAGCACTCGAGGGCAAGAGGGAGGAAAGTGGGGTGGATCAAGCATTGAGAGCTTCCCCTCTGGCTGGACCAGGCTCGCAGCCTTGTGACACTTGGAGCAAAGCTTCCAAGGAGTCCCATTCCAGGTGGCAAGCAAAGAGGCACTGGAATCCTGTTGAGCCAGTTCTTGTGCCTCTGAACTGCTGACTTACTGAAACTTGGTTGTGTGAGCAGTATATGAAGCGGCTGTTCCTTAACCTGCATCCCTCATGTGATACTTCAATTTCGAGCTGGCCCTCTCCTGAGGGTACGCGGTAGGTAACAATTCAAGAACCGGTATGAAATAGATGCAATCAGATTGAAATGTCGGCCTGAAGTTGGCCTGAAGGAAGCAGCCTTGAATGGCTTCTTTCCCTCCCAACCCTGTCCCATTAGTTTATGTGAGACACAATCCTCCCCACATTCATTGTCCAGCAGCACAGTCAATCGTGGGGCAAATCTGTGGGTGCTTCCAGGTGGGCCTTTATTCTGGGATGGGGGATCCCTGCTCATGCAAGCTTTTTGCAGCATCCACACGAGGTGGTTGTTATTAAAATGTCAGCTTGCATTACCGCCCTATTTAAACCATTCAGCATTACATGTGAATGCTGCCCATAGTATTGCTTAAAGTGGCACAATCCTGTTCTAGCTTTGCCTATTCTGCCCCTGCTCTTGCCAAGCAGTGAGAAAAATAGGGTAATGATTAAAAGGCCCGCCTTGGGTGGCAGAACACAGGCTCTGATCCAGCTCTTGTCTTGCATTTGCACATATTAGCATTCCAAATACGGGAAGTGGGGGTTGCATATTAGCATTCCAGATACTGGAAGTAGGGGATACATATTAGCATTCCAGATACGGGAAGTGGAGGGTACTTCTCTTCCTTCTCACTGCACCCCACAGCGGGAATCCCGCCCTGTAGCTGGTGCCAAATCCCCCAAGCAATACTAGGAAGCTAATTAAAGCACATATCCTAATTAGCTTTGAAGTGTGTGGGAAGAATCCACATAAGAGGCAGGTGACATTTGTAACTGTGGGAAAGGTTGATGGGGAAACATTGATGTGCCTTTCTGTGGGTTCTGGCAAAAAAAAGGAGGGGAAGGAAGACAATGTGCCCTCTTAAATGTTTTTAGACTACAACACCCATCATTTCTGGCCAGTTGCCAAGCTGGCTAGGGCTGATGGGAGTTGTAGTCCAGCAAGATGGAGGGCACCAAGTTGCCTGCCCCTGTTTTAATGAGAGGGAGGTGGTGCAAGCTCCCAAAAGTGAGAGGTCTATTTTGGAGGGACTCTTGCGCTCATAAAGACAATTGTATGGAGGAGTTAGCCCAAATGCACAAAGGAGCTTGCTTTGTGCGCAGAATGCACAAGAGGCACCAAGTTAGGCCTCCAGAGGGAAATCTGCATAAATGGCTTAGAAGAGGAGTCCTGCTCCCATCTGCCCCACCAAGCTCAGTTTTTCCTCAGCTAGCCTCCACCTGCCTACCTTCACACTTGCAACCTCTCCAGGTTTGTGGCACTGCCTGCCATGTCTCAGTGTTGCTCTTGCACAACTAAGGAAGGGCGAAAGAAGGGGACAAAAGTAGAGTCAGTTGGTTCTGCCTGCTGTTGGCTCTGGCACCACCTACTGTTGACCTCCCTGTCTTCCACTTTACCAGTTGCAGTGGGCACTAGCTGCCGCTGCTAGCAAACATGACCATGTTGCCAACCCCTGACTTGGAAGCTTGCTGTGCATTTCCCCATGGAAAGCAGGGCAGCTTTGTCCCTACCTGCCTTTATAGTCCACCTACTGTATAGTCCACTGGTGCACCTGGAGCGTTCAGAGCCTCAGCCACTACCTGGATATATCCAGGTGCAGACTCCAACCTAGCTGTGAACTTCGTCTTCAAAAGGAGCACAACCCCATCCAGAACAGGTTGTACTCCCAATCACCAGTTTGTCACCTCTGTCTTCCCCAGATTAAGTCTCACTTTATTAGCCCACCACTTCAAGATCTCCACAGCTTCCTGTGAAAAGTACCTTTGGGAGACCCTGGATGACTGGAATTTGTCGTGTAAGATGAATTGCATTTTTTTAAAAAAACAACCCAAACCCCTCAAACTCTACTATTCATCATTTAGCAAAAAGGAAGCCACATCTACCCTTTTGCCAAGTTTGTGAGGTGATGCAGGTTTGTAGCAGTTTCTGTGACAACACAGGTTCAAGTCTTCCCACCAACTGGTGTTCCTTTGGCTATCAACACAGTGGCTTGTTCATCTGGGCAGAGTGCGCAGAGGGCTGTAGCTCCAGCAATACCAGCAGCATTGCACTTTCATTGTGCAAAAGGTCCCAGGTTCAATCCCAAATGGCATCCAGGTAGGGTTGGGAATGTCGCCTTTCTTAAACTCTTGAGAGCTGCTGCCAGTCAGTGTAGGCAATATGCCTGACTTGGTATAAGGCAGCTTCCAGTGTTTGGGAAGGGAATAAAACCACCCTCTTACCCGAGACCATTAATGAGATTAGTTCCCTGCTCGTATATCACTTGCTGGTTTTTAGGGTTTGGAGTGCTTCTGGAACAAGTTGGTTGCTTCCCAACAGGCTCCTGCCTGAAGGTTTTAACACACCGCAATTTCACACTCTACGTGCTCTGGAAACGTGGGTTAATTTTCTTGATAACCATAATTAGTGGGTTTTATCTCTTCATGGCTTACAAACCAGCTATGCTCACCATTGAATGTTGCGGGGGCG